CACACAAAAAAATGAGACCCTGTCCAAAAAAACAAAAAAAAAAAAAAAAAAAAAAAAAGATGAGATTTTAGGTGGTCTCATTATTTAAGCTAAGGTAACCAAACTGAGAATATAACCTGTTTTTAGAAACATAATTTTTAATATTTATATTAATTTAAGATATCTATAGGTCATGAAGAACATTCATTTGAGCTATTCCAGTGAAAATTTTAAGGTAACAGTACAGAAAAACATGCCATGTTTCTTCACTCCATTTCTATGATGGTGAATTCTAAAGATACGAGATTGCTACAGTGTGTGATAAAGGGAATTCAGATGTTAACATGAAAAATTCATGACAGCATTACATGTCTTGATATGCTTAGAGTGAGGTGGAGAGGAGGGTCAGGGAGAATGAAGGGTTTATAATGGGGCCATAATCCATGTCTTGCTACCAGGTGGCTCAGAAACAGTGGAGGGTAGTAACACATGAATCCCATCAAGCAGCATGGGACAGTTTCATGGAGTGGTACAGGCTACCCAATGAGACAGTCATGCGTGTACCACCAGTGGTTCAAGCCAGTAGGAATGTATTAAATAGGAAATTAAGGTCTGGAATTTAAGCAAGATATAAAATTTGAAGCAGTCCAGGTGATAGGCAAATTCCTGGAAGTAGCTGAACATTAAGGGAGAAAGTATACAGGAAAGAGATGATGATCCAGGGGCATAATCTTATAATTTCTGAGGTCAGTCTATGCACTTTAGGAACTATAATGCAAAAGATACACAGTCTAGTAACCCAGCCCTCTGAGGAGGAGGACTTCCTTTCATAGAGTCCTGCCTGGTGGTTCCTAGCTCCTTACCTTAATGAAGTTAGGATTTCAGGACTTGGTTAAGAGTGGCAATCTGTATGTGACCCTCCATAGATCCTCTAGGATGAATCCTGCTTAGCCCTGGGCCTCTGCATTATATAGGGCTTAAGGAAAAGGCTAAGGAGAAGCCCCCCAAAAATGAAAAAGAAAGGTGAGGGTAACAAAACCACTAGGCACTGCTAGAAGTCATAAGGAACAAAAGATTTTGAAAGGAATGGGTGAGCCACGTTGCAGCAGCAAGGCAAAGCAAAAGGCAGCTGAAAACGGGTCCTTGACACACAGAGGTCAGCGGAGAACTTTGAGGGAGCAGTGTCCCTGGAAGACTGAAGCGGAAGTCAGGCCTCGCTTTGGTTTTGGTTTTGGTTTTTGTGGTACCAGGGATCGAACTCAAGACCTCATGCTTGCAAGGTAGGCACAGTGCCACTGAGCTACATCCTCAGCTCCTAGCCTAATAGTAAGAGGAATGCCGGAGTTGGGACAGCAGTAGTGGGTTCCTTTTATGAAACTGAAGGCAGGAAGGTCAGGTGAAGAGGAGATGTAAGCCTGTTAACAGACTGTTGAGAGGATGAACTTGAAGACTTTTGAGGCATTGGGGAAGCAGTCAGTGGAGAGCAGCCTGAGACTTGAAGAAACTGGTACAGCAGCCCCAGCAGAGGGAAAGGGAAGCAGTGAAAGAAAGAGAAAAATCTCTTGCTTTGATACATCTGGTGGTTTTCCTTTCTAACTGACCCAGTTATCTCTTAATTCTTATACGTCAGTCATTTTGTGGGTACTAAAGATATATTTCTTTGTATTTATTCCTAATGTTAGCCAGGAAGGCCATGTAGATCATTTGTAATGCTATATAAACCTAGAATGAGGAATATTTGTGCTGACCTCTTTGCTTTTTCCTTTTTGCCCATTCTTTAAAAAAATAGTTGTGGGCTGGGGTATGTGGCACAGGGATAAAGCTCTTACCCATTATGTGCAAAGCCCTAGTTTCAATTCTCAGCACTTTAAAAAAAAAATGAAAAAAGAGAAAGGAAAAGTTGTAATTAAAAAAAGAAAAATCTATTCCAGACTCAGTCATCTAAGACTGGCAAGAAGAGAGATTTTATCACATTTTTAAGGCAATGCTATATTCCAAATTCTTTCTTAATGATTCTACTTCTACCAATGTGTAGAGTCAATTTTGCATTTGTTTTTGTGAGCCTTACATAATTTTGCTAGTTTATATGCCCTAATTGGATATATGTGGAATTTTATATTCTTCCCTTTGTTAATTTAAGAGAAAAGCATTCCCTGAAACTTAGATTTATCTAATATCTATTGCCTTCTATAAGACAGGAAGTGTAAATAACATTCCTCATGTGTCTTTGTGACTTTCTGCTGGGAAAAATAACCCACATCCACAAGTTAAAAGAGAAAAGGTTTATTTCGGCTCACACTTTGTAGATGTTTCCATCCGTAGTTGGCTGGCTCCCAGGCAGGGTGGCCTGGCACAAGAGAAACAGTCCATGGTATTGCAAACAGGAAGCAGCAGCAACTTCCTCCTTCTTTCTTTTTTTATTTCATCCAGGCTGTAAGCCTGTTGTTCATGCCACCCACACTCAGAACTGTGCTAAACCGATCAGTGGACTAATGATCCAGTTACTTCTAAAAGCCCCACCTGTGAGCTTCTGAGGCTTTGGGGGACATCTTGATATAAGCTGTAATAGTACGGTAGATGTTATCCCCTTCTTACAGATGGAGAAAACCTGAGTCCAGACAGGTAAAATGGCTTCACAAGTTAGGAGTGGGATGTGAACCTAGACTTCTGGACTTTAAAGCCATTGAACTTTCCATCCAGAGATGTTGTTGTTAATCATGTCAAGTGCATCTGGTTCACATCCCGTCCAAATAAATGCAGTCAGGTTTGTTGTTGTTGTTGCATGTGTCTTTCACTGAGAAGATGGTTCTATAGCAAGGACATTTATTAAAATCTTCTGTGTTATTTCTCCTAATTGTTTCATCTATAATTTTGAATTTAGAATAGCTGCTCCAAAGGAGCTAAGCTATTTTAAGAAATAAAATAATAACCTGCTCCCAGCCTTGCCCCTAATTGGGCAGAGTGACCTTGGGGTAATTTACTTCACCTCCTATATCTCAGTCTCCTCTGTGGTTTGAGTAGGATGATTCCTAGGGCTTTTCCAGGTTTAGGAACCTACTGAAACTTGGGAGGGTTCCTTACTGGTTGTACTATTACAAGTCTATGTCTCCACTCTAGCCTAACATGTTTTATACTTAGAACTTAACCATTTAAACTAGGACAGCTTCAGAATAGCTCTGTAGAATGATAGGATAACTTTAACTGAAAACTCTGCCTTTATTCTGCAATATTAACCAAAAATATGCAGGGGATTAGCAGCTTAAGGTTAAATGTTGGTCTTTATAGGTGTTGGTGGCAAATTTGATTGTCCTGGCAATGAGTATATCAAATCTGTCTAATCTAGGAAAATGAGGATGGCATGCATACCTGGATAGTTGAGAAATCATGAGCAAGAATGTGAGATATCACATGAAAGTCTACATCAAAACTTAAAGTGCTTCAAGCTGTTAGATTTGTTCAACACTGATAAAAAGTGACAGTTTCATAAAAACTAAGAAAGGAAAAAGAAATTGCACTGCAGATGAGTTAATGTAGAGTAATGTAAAGAAGGAGAGGGCAAAGCAGTGATGGAGGCAGAGAAGGCGATCTGCAGTGTGACCGTGAGACTGCTGTCCTCACCCTGCGGCATGGAGAGGGGCTGCCACTCTGCTACCAGGCCTGGGTTGGGGGCTGTCGCCATCCACCCGCTGTGAAAGGGCAGCGACAAATTAAAAGCCACTGACTTAAAAGGAAAATAGACTACTAAATTACCTCTTTTAAGTATTCATGCTTTAAAATCACTTCCTATTGAAGTAACAAAGTGATTTTACAAAATAATTTTTAGATTCATTTGCACCACTAAAAACTACAAGCAGATTTTTTTTAAACTGTGGTTATGTGTGTGTGAACGATCTGGTCTTCCAGTCAAATCTTTGTCACAACATATTTCTTTACACCGTTCCTTTTCCATCTGAGTGTGCAGAGCAGGGGAACAGTGGTGTGGCAAGTCTTGCGCCTAAATTTCTTTGACAGCATAGGTTCACTCTTTTCTCTCCCTTTCCTCTTCTATAACCCCTTCTTTTTTTCTCTTAGCACTCATGAATAGTGCACAGCAAAATGCCCCGTGGAAGAGGTATGTTTGGGACAATGACATGAAGTCTCGGCTGTGTGTGTTGATTCCAGCTTTAGCAGTGGCGGCAGTGCGATTGTAGCACAGTGGGGTCAGCCTGTGACACGGTGAAACCATTCTCACCAGTCAGGCACCATGCAGAGCTCTAGCTTCTCTGTCTGCTTTTATTCCAGCAGACAAAACATACCTCAGCTTGGTTTAGCTCTTGGTAGCCGTGTAACAGTCAAGCCAGCCGATGGTGTGAAGGTAAGGGCCCTTCCCAATTGAGATCCAGGCGCTTGGGTTGCAAGTGTGAGGGGTTTGCACTAACCACCCAGCACAGGTGAAGCTGATGTATCTCTAATCACAGCCAAAGTTTCATTCACGTCCAACCTCCCCCGCCTCCGGTTAAAGGAGAAACAGAAATTAATAGAAAGAAGAAAGAAAAGATCCACACTTCCAATCTTTTCAAATCAGGCCCATTGAAAACATTAGAGAGAGATAATGAAAGCTACTGGTTGAAGTAGTTTCTGTCTGAAACAGATCCATATCTTGTACAAGTCTTTATAGTACATGTTTATCCTCCCCCAAGGAGTCTTAGTTTTAAGAATGGATTTCTCCTTGGAAAGAGAAATAGTATTCTCTATTGCATAAAAACTCATCCCATGTGTGACGTATTTTCCATATTGTCTGATTAAGACTATTTGCTTAAAATCATAAAATTTACAACATAAATTGAAGCCATAAAGCTTTTTGAGTTTGAAATTTGAGGGGAAAGTCAGTGCAATCTGTGTGTTTATAAAAGTAATTTGTACACTGTTTGCATTTAATGTCTCTTAATAAAACTACTCAGAAGTAGAATTGCAGAAATTTACAAACTAGAAGAAAATTTAATCACTTTTTTATAGAATTATAAACAAATACAAGTCTAGTCATATAGGGTAAAATAGATGTTTTAAGAACTTTATTCCCATTGTCATTTCATGTCATCTTAATGCTTCGAGCATTTATATTTATACTTTTATATTTGTTTATATTTATACTTTATTTTCACTGTTCATCCTTCAAGTCATTTTCAGAACCATAGAATGTACTTTGAGGAGGTTTTGAAATGTACTTTCCTATGAAATTCAGATTTATAATTTATTTCATCGAATATAAAAAGATCATTTTGATTTACTTTTCTACTTACAGCTGTTAAAAGTCAGACATTCTATATGAGGTCCATTATAAGCTATCTTTTTCCAACTGTACTGTATAAAAATTTAAATCCTGATCGAATGTACTAATTTTATACTATACCAGCTTATTCTTTATTCTGTAGCATCTCGGACTTCTATTCAAAGTGAACTTCATCGGGATAGGAGGTACGGTTATATTTACCCATATTTATATTCTGCTAATAATTGAAATAAAAGTGTGTCATTAATTAACAAGTTAAATATCTCTTTCATAAGCAATGTTTTCCTGTTTTGTGCCTCCTCATTACCTATCCTGAATTCATCTGGTAGTTTGAATGACGAAGATTTTGCTTGAAAGAAGAAATGATAGAGGCCTGAGAATATTCTTTTAACTATCGTTATTTACTGAACTTAATTTTTTTAGATGTTGATAAAACAGCTAATACATGTAAAGCATTGTGACTGCTGCAGAGAAATGCTTTGTGCCTCATAGGTACTTACTAAATGTTGCCTAAATAAATGGATGGATGACAGGATAAAAAGTTAGTTAATTAGAAAGGTGAAGGGAGAGGTGGGCAACCTACATAGACATATGGGTGGTTGTTTAGAAAGACAGGGAGAATAGAAGGAAGGAAGACTAGCTAGACGATAGAAGTGGAACACATAGATGGAAAGATAGACATGTAAATAACGGATGGGTGGACTTTTGCAAGTCACGATTCCTGCTTTCAAATGTGTGACATATAGTTTAGGGTGATGAAAAATAAGGACTTCAGAGTCAGAAAGAGCCAAGTTCAAATCCCGACTTTGCTTTCCCACCATGTGACTTGAGGCAAGCTTCTGTGTTCCCATATTTAAAATGGTGCTAACTGCACCTATATCACAAAGTTACATATAGGTTAATGTATGTGTAGTACTTAAAATTTACTGATTAGTAACTCTTGTTACTTTAGTTAGACAGAAGGTATAAGCAGAGCTTCTTAGGGAATACAGTTCAAACTGAATCGATGAGGTTCTACTACTTGACAAGCTAGCAGGAAGATGTGCGTACATGCACAGTTTTGCTAATAACAGGCTTTTGTAATTTTTATTTTCCATAGAGTGCTAGAGAATTTACTAGATGAGAAAACAGAGGCTCAGGAAAGTTGAGATTTTGCCAGGGTTACATAGTTGGTGTTTGTTAGGAAATCGGGTTGAAGATGAAATTTAAACATAAAAATACAGAATCGGATGAAGAAAAGAAGCCATGCCCAAATCACTGTGACTCTTCAGAATTACAGATACTCTAATTCTGACCACTTCTAGGGAAGTAATCAGTAGGCAGCCAGCCTTTAAACTAATTTGCAATTTGTGCATAATTCAGTGAGCCCTGCTTTCCTTTCCAGTCATTGGGATCACTGTAGAATCATCAAACCATATAGAAAACTGACCAGAAACACAGACACCTAGAGGTAAACATAAATTCAGAATATTTCAAGGTAAATTTAAACTGGGACAGAGATGAAGTGAGGAAGAGGAAGATCTTCTTCCTAAATGGTAATTTTCGTTTTTTAGTGTATACTTTATAAAAACAGAAAACCAAACAATCCCATTGACCCATTTTACTTTATGCCATATGCTTGTACCGTAGGCTACACAGCAGCACGGCCCTGGCGTGAACAGATTGTGTGGGCCTTAACTAGTGCTTATCCTCATCAACCAAGGCACAGCGAAGTGTGCTCGGGCTACATCTCTAACTTTTTGAGGCCAAAGTCACTGAGGGCGACTGCCTTCTGTTCCTTTGCACCTGTCTGGTACACTATTAGAGACAGTCCAGGCCAGAGAAGTCATTCCCATGACTGCGATAGTTCTTTTCACTATTCTAGGTAGTGGTGGTTCCATGGATCTGAACATTCATGGATAAGACAGTGGTAGCTCATTGCCAGCCTGTAAAACCTCACTGGGGCTTCTGTCTCCTAGGCGGCCAGAGATCACCATTGTGGCAGCGGAGCCGCTGAGGCCAGCCTCGTGGTTTCCAGGAGGCCCACCCCCAGGCCTGGGATTTCCCCCGACTCCTGCAGCTGGCCCTTGGAGGCCAAATGAGCTGGTTCCTGCTGAGGTGAATTGCATTTTATTTTCGAAATTAAATTCAGAAGATAAGAAACAAGTAGACTCTCAACACCTTGGCTACTGTGCATGGTTGTCTTTAAGTTTTTTGTTTTTTATTTTGCAGCTCCCACCCTCTTATGAACAAGTCATAAAAGAAATCAACCAAGTTCAAGTTAATACTACAAACAATAATAATGCTGCTGCCCCTCCAAGGCACACTATTACTTCTGCAACTCAGACGGACTTTTTAGAAGAAATAGACAACCATCTGCCTCAAAGTAATGCCAATAATTTGTCTTCCCTAATTCTGACCACTTCTAGGGAAGTAATCAGTAGGCAGCCAGCCTTTAAAATAATTTGCAATTTGTGCATAATTCAGTGAGCCCTGCTTTCCTTTCCAGTCATTGGGATCACTGTGGGCTTTCTTTTGGGGATATGCAGTGATTATTATAACAGATCATTCTTAAGAGATGCCCTCATCTTTTGGGCTCACCCTCGTTCAGATCACAGAAACTTCGTCTGTTTAACTTTCATTGCATATTGCTGTGGATGCCCTTTATTCCCATTGAGAAGGATTTTTTATTAATAACTTGGACTTTATAGAATACTAAGGGTGATTGTTATGACTGTGGATGCCCTTTATTCCCATTGAGAAGGATTTTTTATTAATAACTTGGACTTTACAGAATACTAAGGGTGATTGTTATGTTAGGCTTTTTAAGACTATTTTATTAGAGACAAATAAATTGATTTGGAAAACTAAAGCACTGAAAATGTTAGAATTTTGACAATTAGAGAGAAATGGCTTATGTATTGAGTCTAATGACAATTAAGAATTTAATGATGTTTTAAAATATTACATAATGAATATTTGTTATATGGACAAACACAGATTGAAGAACTTGTATGGGAAACTGAGTATAAACATTTCCTCCATGATTTTTCAATCACTTTTTACTAAGGAAGGAAATAAAAATCTCTTGATAGCCTACAGTTATATTTTTAAAATCTGTACAAGGTCCTGAGTTTGATCCCCAGGACTGGGAAGAAAAAGAAAAAGAAAAGAAAAGAAAAAAATCTGTGTATCGCCTCTATTTTTTTTTGTTGTTGTTGTTAGAAATGATAACATAGCAGCTTTGTTTTATTTTGATCTTGTTAGCACTACAGGCACCACTCAAGCCTCTGCAGCCTCTGCCAACAGCCTCATGTGGCAAACTTCCAGCAAATGTAGCGCCTTTAATAGTCTTCGATATTTCTGAAGAACAGAATTGTCCAGAAAACACCAGTACTACAAGATGTCCTGTGCCAAGACCAAGATCAAAAAGCAACCTCAGGCCAGTAGTTAGAGATACTAACATTAAAGAAAAAAGTCACCAGAAAATCAGTCCCACAATCCCAGAAGAGGAGTCTTCCCTAGGCCAGCCCCAGTCTCTGTCGGATAATAACAACGACTTAGAGAGTCAGACAGTGATGAACATTATGAACACAGAACAAAGCCAAAATAATATTGTTTCAAGGATCAAAGCATTTGAGGGTCAGACAAATGCAGAAACCTCAGGCCTGACCAAGAAACCAGAAATCACTCCTCGTACACTTCCCCCAAAGCCTGCTGTTTCCTCAGGGAAACCCTCTGTGGCTCCTAAACCAGCTGCTAACCAAGCTTCTGGAGAATGGGATACATGGACTGAAAACAGACTCAAGGTGACCCCCAGGGAAGGGTTCACCTCCTACTCTTCACCACAAGAAACAGGGAGCACCCTGGTAACCAAACCTGAATTGCCAAAGAAACCAACTCCTGGCCTTATACGAAGTGGTAATCATGAGATTTCGGGAGGAGGGCCCATGGTGGAGAGTCCTGGTGTTGGGAAGAAAGTCCCAACTCCTGCTCCACGGCCTTTGCTGCCAAAGAAGTCAGCTTCCTCGGAAAACCCTCCCTGCCCTTCAGCTCCACCTAAACCAGTCCCTGTGCCTCCCCGACTCTCAGTAGCATCACAAGCCAAAGCATTCAGGTCACTGGGAGAAGGGCCCCCAGCCACTCCCCCAGTTCCAGCTCTTCAAAGCAAGCCCCTGGGGGACGTCGACCTCATCAGCTTTGATGATGATGTTTTGCTCTCCTTATCTGGGAACCTGGCTGAAGAATCTGTTGGTTCAGAGGTGGTTCTAGGTGAGTAAAACTCAGAAGTAGAAAACCTAAACTCATCAGAGGGTTCTCAAATGGCAAAAATGGCTGCTTTAGTTTTCAGTATGGGAGTTGTTGAGGTGTGTGTGTGTGTGTGTGTGTGTGTGTGTGTGTGTGCGCGCATAAGCATGTGTGTGTATAGAAACGGATGAACAGAGAAATTTAGAAATGTGGCACGCAGAATGAAGACAGAAGGAAAGGAGAACATGGAGTGGGGAGATGGAAACAGAGAAGGGGAGACACAGCACATTTATTTCTATTACGTAAGCCAGGAGTGAGCAAACTGGAGTAGGAGCTAGTTTGTGGGGCTGGACTCCCTTACCCCGGCAGGTGGGAGGAAGTTCAGGGACCCAGGAAGTTGAGATCATGGCACTGAGAGGACGCAGTAGGAGCGTCTAATAGACAGGAAGTTGTGTAGTGGCCCCAGAGGAATCCTGGCTGGGGGTGACAGAGCAGTAAGGATGAAGCCAGCCATGTGTTACGGAATCCTTTTCTGCGATCTTCTCAGAACGTCTTCCCTCGGGAATGTAAAATTTGTAAATAAAATTAAATGTGTTAAATTTGCAACTAAGATCAAGACAATTAAATTTCCCAAGAGGCAGAGAGTGTGCTTTCCTTATACTGTTTAGATGGTAGTAAGAGTTTATCTCCGATTTGTCAGACTAACTTGATCTACTTGTCATTGATAAGATTCCTGTTACTGTTTACTTATTTAGGTGGAATTTGTGAACGTATAAACTTCATAGTATTTTCACAAGTTAAACTATCATCTTCTCAATGTTTAATGTACCTCAAAATGGTACAGAGTATGATTTCAAAACTAAATTCTGCATACATTAAGTGCACAACATTGTACCTGGCTATGTTTGTCCATAAAGGGTAGAAGGAAAAACATTAGCATACATTGAGTTTCTCTGATGTTCATGTCCTAACCTTTTGCTCAATATTTAATGCTATGTCTCAGAAATTATTTTATTTAATACAGTGACTGTCTGTAAGACATCATTGGCCTCAATTTGCAGATGAGGAAATTAACAGATACCAATGGATACTTGCCTAATATCATGAAACTCACATTTTAAAGCCAAGATTCAGTCTCATTTAATTGCCACAATATCATGTTTGCTACCCAACATTTTTATGACTCTTTAAGCAGCATTTTTTAAACTTTTCAAGTCTATGTTAATATCATTTTCTTATTTAGACATTTTGTGTGAGAAGCCTCAGAGAAGGGTATGGATGGATAAATCCAGCAGCAGCAAGTTGTTAAGGGGTGGAAACAGTCAAAACAAAGAAATACTACCTTTTTTGAGAGCTTGCTAGATTGTAGGGGAATGGAAACCTGGTTAGTAAGAGAATTTTTTCTGTACATCAAGGTGATAATTATAGTCAACTTCACAAAGAAAGGTCAGCAGTGTACATCCACCATGAATACAGTCCCATGCTTCATACTCAGCCTTTTCTGTTTCTTGATTTCTACTTTATTGCACAACAGTTAATTATTGAGTCTGTCTTTTAGCAAATGTGTAATTTGCTTGCCCTCCCTGATGCTGTTGGCTGTGGAGTTACACTGAACCGAGTGCTTCAACTTCTTTTTAAGCCTGCTCTCCTCTTACATTTTGCACCTCACCTAGTGACACTGTGACATACCCAGCCTTCCCTAGAGAAACCTGGAGACTTCCCCAGAGTCTTCTCACCAAGTTACACAGTGGCACAGCTATTTAGATTTGCAATGTCCCAGGCTCTACCACAGTTGCCATGTAATTTTGGGCAGCTCAGTTAACCTTGCAATGCCTTGGTTTCATCATCTGTAAGATAGGATTATACTACTCCCTTGGAGAATATTATAAGGTTTAAATATGATTTTTGCAGTAAAGCCCTATCAGATTGTCTGAAATGTGATAAGCATTCATCAAGTAGTAACTATTTTCACATCCAATTAGTTACCATCACCTGCTGGTTTTACCTTCTCAGTACCTCTGAACCTGCTTCTCATTTCCATCTCCCTTTGTACAGCCCCACTTGGGCCTTTGTGTTCAGATTCCTGCTGTGGTCTAAACTGAGCCTGCCGTAAAGGTTGTTCTAGAGTGCACATGGCCCTGTTCCTTCCTTGCTTGCTGGGGATCACGTCTGAACTCCTCAGCACAGGGAAAGGAGTCTGTTGGATTTAGGGCTTTGTGACTTTGTTATAGTATCCCAGTAGCTCTGTCATTATAAGTACTGTATAGACTTATGGTCTCTTGGTGAAACCTTGCTCAGGCATCAGCTGGAAACTGGGAGGAACACAGGAGAAAAGAAACTCACAAGTAGGTCTTCCCTTTCTTTGTCTTCTGCCCTCAAAATAAAGGAAATCTAATAAAATAGTGTTTGTAAAAGGAAGTTGCCATATTAACCTCAGGAAATAGAGATCAGAAAATACTGAAGCTATGAAAATATTGTAAAGAGTGGGAAAATTATTAAAGGAAAACTCATAAAACAGGCAATTTAATATTGGATTCATTTCTTGGGTATAATGCCTTCCAGGTTAATGTAATGGAGCTGAGAAGTATTAGCAATTCCACTTCACACCTTTACAAATCATACCCAGTTGTCAAAAAAAGCAGAATATCTGCTGTCAGCCCCATTACACAGACCAGAATAATAGTTTAACAGCCAATTTCTGCTATTAACAGAACTCAAGGGAAAGCAATGACAGAAAAGCAAGCCAGGGATGGTGAAACTAATTATGATGACAAGCATATTATTAGAGATAGGTAATGGGCGGAAAACTACTTTATCATCAGTGTTTTTCTCGACCCAGCAATGAAAACCACGTGGATATAGCTGTAAAGGGGCCTGCTTGTTTGTCAAGGGATGAAGAATAATTGGTGTTGGTGTGAGGGGCTAGAAAGACAGAATGAACACATGAAATAAAAGGGAGAAATGTATTGACTGCCCTTAGATTTGGATAGGAAATTCTTCTTGTGATACCCTGAGCTGTCTGAAGAAGCAAGAGCAACCAGTCTGTGATAAAATTATGGAAGCAAGGTTCTTATCCCTTTCTGGATCATCAGACTCAGAACCTGATGTAGCCTGTGAGTCTTTCATCTCCTTTGAAAGTTGCCTGTTTATATATGGACAGTTTGAGGTACAACTTTGTATTCCAAGGGCCATCTTCAGCTCTAGATCAAGGGCTTCTGTAGACTATTAGAAGTAAGCTTCCGTGGACTGCTTAAATAAATGGTGGTACATCCATAGTATTGCTTGGTAATAAAATAGAAGGCAGAGCTATTACCTCCTAGAATGGACCAACCTCCAGCTCATTATTAGGTTGAAAATGTGAGGCACAGAGTAGAATTTCATGGCGTTTAGCTATGTTTGTGCTGAAAGTCATATGCAGTATGTTTGGAAAGATGTTTAAGAAACTGGTAATGAAAGTTGTTTACTGAGGTACTAGGTGGGCGGGATGTGGGGCTAGTGTTCAGTGTGGGTCTATTTAATTTGCAGACCATATGTGAGTTTTAACCTTTGACACAGTAGTCAATCACTTTTTCTAAATAGCTGAACGTAAGCATAATTAGGCTGAATATGAGCATTACCTCTTGTTATCTTTGCCATAGAAAGAGAACAGCTCCCACCACTGATCTTGAGCCAAAATCATAAAAATAATAAAATGGGGTGTGGGGTATGGCTGAGTGATACAGCATGTGCAAGGCCTGGGCTTGATCCTGCATGGCAAAAAATTTTTAAATAGGCGATTTTCCTAAAGAGTTATATTGTTTAAGGTGATAATCTAATTAT